GATAGAGTTAATTTTCTTCATAGCAGCTTATATGGTGCTATGTTTTAGATCTGTGATGAAAATAGTGTTGATAACATAGGAACGCTTTGGTTGTTGCTCAACAGCTCTTTCACAGCATCAAGGCCTTCTCTGTTTCTCACTCTGCACCAGTGGATACACTGGGAGGTGGGGACACCACCAGGCAGATGACCTGAACTGGCAATAACCAAAGAGCTATTCCATACCATGTAACGTCGTGGTCAGCAATAAAAGGGAAAAGAGGGGGCTTTAGCGGGGTTAGCCATCTTTTACTTGGGAACCGTCTGGGCATCGGTCTACCCGGTCACCACAGGAGGTGGTGAGTGAGTGCCTTTGCATCACTTGTTCTGCTTTCTTCTCTCTCCTTCCACTTATCCTTCAATTATTAAACAATTTTGTTTTGTTTTGTATTATCTTGACCTCCAAGTTTTCTTGGTTTTATTCTTCCTTTCCTCTTCACCCGTCCCACTGGAGATGACGGGGGGAAGTGAGCAAGCAGCTGTGTGGTGCTTAGCTGCCCACCAGGGTTAACCCACAAAAATATGTATTTTGCCTATCTCAACAATTTCTCAAATACTACAAAATATAATTAATTGCTACAAATAATCAGAGAGGGGTAAAAATTATTTTCTGCTGCTGTTTTATTGATTCACTTCCTGAAATTAGGAAGCTTCAAGGTTAATTGCACTGTTTAAAAACTCATTTTAATTAAACTGCATAACTACTGCAGGGAGATTGAAACCCACCAAATTTATACAGAGGAAAACAAAATAATACATTCAAAGAGAAATGAAGCAGATGACATTCACATCTACTATTGCAAGATTGTAGAGAGAAAAGAAGTAATTATTTTCTAGGCTGATGACCTCAATGAACTTATGTTATTCTAGACAGAAGAAATTAGAATCTTTTTTACCTTGCCACAGTGAAATTATCTGGAGGCAAAAGCCGAGCAAGTTGAATGAAGATGTGATTAAGAGAAGCACAGAATCCACACCACTGTGCATAATAGAGCAGCAAGACATTCTGGAAAATGAAATGGAGAAGACTTTGATTACCTATTGTAGTTAATCTGCAGTAAAGGAGAACTAGTCTTCACAACATCTAAAACTTGGAACCCTTAAAATGTGAAAGGAAATTATATTCTTATGTTAATAAACTTTATTATAAGCTATTTACTGATGCCCTCTGTCTACTGAGTTAACACCCAAAAACTCTGGGGAATTCTCTTTCCATAAAGAAAAAGACATAATTAAGAGGGTTATTTAGTTTATTCAGTTCAGGATCACTCCCTTTAAGTGAAAATGCACCAAACTTTACTACACTTCCCAAGATTCTTTTGCATTCTTAAATTCCTATGTATCTAACAGTGACTGTATGCTTGGGGGGGCAGGGGATGATGTCTAGGCTTCTGCTTTTTGCCTCTAACTAGAAAAGCAGGAGTTAGGGCTGCTGGAAACTAATTACTGGAGATGCATATATTCACTGCAGACCTAAAAGACAACGGATATTAATCCTTACTATCACATCTTTGAGAAATCGAAGTAATTTAACTAGTGTTCAAGATGACATCTTATGTAAAGCAATTTCACGGCATGCAATTGGAAAGCTTTTACCTGTAAGAGTTCTGGGTTTTTTGCTGTGTGCTTTCAAATAATGCCTTAGGTTTAAAACCTTCCTTTTTTTTTTTTTTCATTATGTCTACTTTGCAATAATTTTAAACTTTTTTTTAAAGTAAGTTTTTTTTAAAAAATGCAATATATAGAAAAAAAATTGTGGTATATTTATTTCCTTTGAGGTATGAAACACAGAAATCAGAATATTCTTCAATGTTACCTCAAACCCTATGTATTTAGCATGTACTCCTGCTACAGTGGAAGAAAGGAAAAGAAAAAAATCAAGTCACAGACACTTTTTTTTTTTTTTTTAAAATTAAAATCTATATTTCAAACACACAGGGAAAAAACCACACTTCCTCCTGCCAAAAAAACCCAAACACAACAAAAAACAACCCCCAAAAACTCAACAAACCTTGAACTGTGGCAGAAACCTGTCAGGGAATCAGTTGCACTGACTTCTTGATTATTTTAACACCAGAAGATGATGTTTTGCAGATTTACTTAAGATCACACTATTCTGAATTGCCTTTTTAAAAAAAAAATACTTTTGAATTGTTACAAAATAACATATTTTATGTTACTAATAAGCAAAGCACATCAATGTGAAAAAAAGAACGAGACCCCCTCCTCAAAAGTCTGAGCAATGATTTGCAAGAAACTTTTTCAGTAATGAGGTGTACCTTTTCACTCAAAAACACGGTATCATGAAAGGTATTAGTAGTCACTTCAGTGATTACACGCTGTTCATGCAAATGGACTGAAGAGTCATCAACAAGATGCCTTTTCAAGGGACTGTAGAGAATACTGAAATTTTTTATGAAGTTCTCTGAAATGAAATTGATACATAACAAAGTTATTTCAGTTTCACAAATATGTCATTTTGGCAGTTTTTACTTTGGGATTCAGAAGAACTTACAGAGAAAATACAAATTCAAACCTGGTTTCATGTCATTAATTTTTGACAGTTTGGTATCAACTCTTCAGTAACCACCACTGACGTGAAAACAAGATAAAATTTCTCTGATTTTTTGTTTTGCTCATTACAGTCTTCTTTTCACTTGCCACACTGCTCTCTAATCTTGCTTCTACTCCTATTCATTGTACTATAATAATAATTCTCTACTCTCCTAATCTAGCTATACACCTGGTAAGTCATAAATAGTATACTCTCACCATTTTTCACTTTCTGCATAGCACTGAAGTATTTGGCCCTTATCTCGAAGGCTCCACTTAATTCCACATGTATTTGCATTTTTTCTTTAATTTTTAATTATTTTCCCTGTAATTCTCCTTTTGCTTTAGACCTTTAAAGACTGTGCTATTCCCGTGCCAATATGACCAGCCACCTTTTGTTTACCAGTGATCACCTTCCCCTTCATTCAACTGTCTCCTTAGTTTTAAGAGATTTAACAAGTAGCTGGCCAGCAGTAAAAATTTAAAACAAGCCCCAAAGCCCTCAAATTACCTTCAGCTACGCTCCTCTGAGCCTGGACCATGTTCTCTAAATTGCTGCAAGATATTGACTGTACCCTTCTTTTCAATTTAGATAGAGAAATATTATTCTACGCATTCTAAAATAAGAGTATTCAATAATCAAGACAAAAGATATAATATCAAATACATAAAAAATAATTATTTGATCAAACAGAAATATCTTGTGCTCGTATTTCCAATCCAAAAACTAGGCCCAAGTAGAACTGGCACTTTTGTACATACATACAAAATACCAGATCATCAAGTTTATCTCTGAAATGCAAACAACAGTATATTTAATTTTATATTTATTATTCAGCATTTCATTAAATTCTTACACCAGACCAAAACATTTTTTTTCTTTCTAGATCTCCAGAATCTATGCATGATTAAGTAATAACTAAAAGGAGGGGGCTAATTAGAAGACATACTCCTGAATTTTTAGAAACCATCTGTAAAAACTGAAATCTGTTAAAGGTATTAAACAAAAATCTGTTTTGTTATTTTAAAATATGAAAAGTTGAGAGGCTTAAGGAAGTAAAATAAAATTTTAAAAAATTCCACAAAACCCAACATAAATCACAGTCAGTCCTTGACAAAATATGTAGGAACAAAAATTTTCCAGAAGTTCAAATGACTTGGAATAGAAATATACTGAGTGTTCCTTAGCAGAGAAACCCTCATCATGCTCAGGAAATCCTGTGACCTGAAGAGACAGAAAGTACTGGGGAGCAGAAAGGGGAAGGAAATTTCTATCTCCTCACTCTGATCTTAATTTTTCCTAAGCATCCTTTTACGGTCACTGGGGTTTTTGTTTGTTTTTCCAGAGTGTTCTTCTGGGGGGTTGGGATGGAGACAGCATACAGGGCTGGATGGGATCCTTAACAACACGGCTATTTGTTCTATGTTGTGCGTACTTCTGTACTTATGATTATGGCAAAATGGAAAACTAATTAATGCTATAAGAATTATATTGATATACCTTCTTGAACAATTTAATGCTATGTTCACCTGAATTTACTTCCATGTTTAGTTACACTGCTAACATTAAAAAACCCTGCATTTTCTGAAGGTGAACTTGGTTTTGCACATTATCATGACAGGTAAATGCATGTGGCTAGGCATGTTGTGTCTTATTCAATAACCTGTAAATAAATAAGAACTGCGATCATTGGGTTGGTTGGTTGGTTTTTTGCTTTTGTTTTTGAGGTTTTTTTTGTTGTTTCTTTTTTTTTCCTCCTTCAATTCAGCCAGGAACTAGAGTATTGACAGATTTGGCCAAAACCACTTCAGAGCTCTACCTTGAAAACACACATACTTTTCAAAATAAATTTAAAACAATTTATAAGTTGATTTCAGAGGACAAGAGGAAGGGCTAGCCTCTGCTGGTAAGTGGGCAGTATCGCACAAAATTCTGGGATATTTTAGTACACAGAACAGCTGAACAAACACCACCACCACCATTAATATACAAATGTCTTCTGTAATATCAAAGGTGTTAGATGCACAGTAATTTTTTTTTCCACAAGCAAATTAGTTTAGATTTTACCAATTCCTTCAATGCATCAGGCAGTCAAGAATCACACATTCTGAGGTTCACTTCTTTTAAAGCAAATTACTTCTGGTATATGAAACTTAGTTCTTACGTCATCTAGAACTGACTGATTCTACTGCTTGGTGAACTACTAAATAAATTAGAATAGAGTAAATTACGACTCACGATGTTGACTATAGTCTCACGTTTCAAAATGGCATTAAGTTTTCCATTCATAAGCTTACTAGCAAACTTAATTTTCTTATCTTAAGCATTTGTATAGCAGATACCATACCCAGGGTAGATCCAACAAGTGACTGATTTTGATCCAGGACATAGTGCACTTCTTCTTTCAGGTCAACAATGGCAGCAAATTCTTTAAGATGAGTAGATCTTGATGCTCCTAGTCTCTCTGCATATATCCAAAAAAGATTTGAATCCAGTAGATAAAGATTCAAGGTTTTGTTGGTCCTGCAGCTCAGACCAGTAATGTTAGTGCCACTAATATGAAGGTCAGGAATAAAACAATTCCTATCCTCAATATGAGGAATAGACTGTTGGGTGTTATCTTTCTTCCCATGGGAAGAAAATGCTACTTTGCGGGTCTGAAAGATGGTCTTCTCGGAACTAATGAAACTTAAAAAATTCCTGTTTACCGTCCTGCAACATGCAGTGTAATAGCTAAAGGGACTATAGAAACTTAAGAAATTGCTGCATTCTATGGTATTTGATATAACTTGAAAAAAGGTACGTTCCTGGAGGTAGAAAGAGTCCAAAGCTGCTTCTATCTCTAAAAAGTTACAGTGTGGCACATGGACTTTATTTGGTTTGACACCAAGTGTCTGGTTAATGCAAAGCTCACAGACATTATGAGTTCTAGATATTGAATGCCACTGCGGAAGCACCACTGTATTACAGCATGGGTACTTGGTTATTGAAAATGTTTCTGATAATTTCGTATGTGCATCTGGTACAGAGGAATCAAAAGCTGGTGAATCAGTGCCTTCTAAGGGTTGAAGATCTAGCTCAGCTGCCTGGCTTTTATTACAGTTGTGGTATTCCAAGGCCACTTTGGTAATCTGGGGGGGGAAGAAAAAAAAAGAAAAATTAACTGTACATAGTTCACGCAAATGCAATTATCTGTTGCAGGTTTAACAACATATACGCAATTAGAGATGGAATCTCAGAAACGTAAAGTTGACTACTCTTCATTCTTACAGAAAATTATAGGAGGCTCTGACTTGATAACAAAGTTAAATTTTCAGATATTTCAGCATGTAAGAATTAAATGTACAGAACAACAAAAAGCCACTTTAAAATTTTTTCAGTCCACTACACTGATCTTAAGGTCCTCTTTGCATCATATTTACCACAGTGTAATAACACTACATTTTAAGGTTAAATCCCTCTACATGAAGCATTAATCAGTTCAGGTTCCTGAATTTCCCTTATTTTCCAATACGAGGAGAAAATAAATAAAAGCATTCCCATATGAAAAGAGAAGAGATTTTTTCCTCATATAGGTGGTGCACAAATTTTGTAACAATCACTAGCAGTGTTGAAGCAATGTTAGTATTCTCTCAGCCATGGGCATATAGTTGTAATACTGCAGGTGTACTTTGCATATAGTAATGCATGACTTACTGGGAGAAGAAAGAAAAAAGGAAAAAAAGAAAAAAGCCTGCCTCTCAGCGCAGACACTCCTGTGCTGCATCACCATTTTGTTTTTCAGAACCAAGAGGAAACAAGCAGCGAAAAAGGCATGTGTATGGACCACAGAAGGAATTCCCTTTCTAGGAGATAAATAACAGAACATACAAGAAATGAAAATGAAACAGGAAGTTTCCCTTCATCCTCATCTATCCCATTAAACATAATGAAAATACACACATTGCTTACACAAGAACACTTTGATAGGAATCACTATAATTACCAAAGGGATGTTGAAGCATTACATCTAGAAGGGGTGCTGTGTCACACAACCATCAGTATTAAGATGTTATCTATAGCAACAGTTTGTTACAGTCTTTAAGAATTCATTGTTAGATGTTTTCATCCTGAAAACGCTCAATTAAATACTCAGAAGAAATTTGACCCCTCATACTACAATCTAGACTGAAGATTTTGACTACCTACATAGAGAAACATGAGAAGAAATTATAAACAGAAAACCAGATTTGTGTAAGAAATCTCATTTCAGTGAGCTACTATCAGAAAAAAAATTTTGCTCTGAGAGCTTTCAACATACAACTTGACAGTCTTGTTCTTTGCAAGTGCCTTACAGTTGAGTGTCACTGCTTGATGAAACCCAGAGGACAGCTGCAGCAAACATCTATGCCTATGGTAAACAAGTTGCATAATATCTCTCTATCAAAGTGAAGCTATACAGGGTCAACTGAAGTATTCTGTATCTCATTTCACATTTTGGTAAATACTGTTATTTAGCAGAATGAAATCTGAATTGGAACATCTTATGTTGCACTGATTTCATCTAAGTGGTACCTGTTACTAGAATGTTTAATCTATGACAAGCATCACTGAACTAAGTCTGCCAAAAGTAAGACAGGTTAGTACAAGAATAATCGCAGTTCTTTTCCAGTCTTTCCACAAAGATTTCCATAACCTTATCTTGTAGCAGCCTAGCTTTTATTGTGTCTATTTCTAGTTTGGCTAAATATTGTACCGTAAGTTATCTTCATTTTTTTCCTCATTCAGACACTGCAATATTAATTAGGCCTCCTTGTGGAAACCACACATTCCAGGACATAGATGCCATGTATATAAGTCACATTGCCACCAACACTTAGCCCTGCTTTTCATCTTCCACGGATGCTTGTTTCTTGTTCCACGCTGTCCTTAGTGCTATACTGTGATGTGCAGCTGTGTGATATACTAAATGGGACAATGGGTTCCAGCTGAAAAATAGCCCAGGGAAAAAAAAGTATTTTTCAGCCAAGTTAGTTTCCCTATCTCATTTACTGCACAGCTACACAAACTCCTGCCCTAGGCAGTTCAGAAATGGAAATAATGACACAGCGAGAGAAAATTGGAAGGCAACTAAGGAACGCACAGGATATAAAAATCGGATTAATTCCGAGCAGTTTTTCAATTGGGCTATATTTCAAATAACACTGTCTGGTTTAATAAAAGGTCCATTCTTCCTTGTGTAACCACCTCTGGAAAGACGGAAGGAGAGGAGAGACAGAATAGAGTAGACAAAACACAAGTCCTGCAATACTTAATACATTCTTGCTCTTTTGTTTGAGCTATGTCAGCTGGAACAGAAGACCAAAGATCTGCATCTCACACAGTACTCACCACAAAAAGAAGGAAGTCAAGGAATAGAGTTAGATGCTTGTTCTAAACAACTGTTGACATGAGACAAAGGCATGTTGTGTGGGATGCAAACCAGCGTATGCGAGTTGTGATAATATGGCTTGAGAAAACGTGTTTTCAAACAAAATTGAATACTTGGAACAGTGAAATAAAATACCTGTCACAATTAAGCTCAGAACCCTGACTAGAGTTCTCAAGTTCTAGTATTTTTGAAGTGAAAAAAGAATTACTTCACTTACTTCATCTAAAAGAGGATGAATTTCTGCTAGGGGATCGTAAGGTATAAATATGAGAAGTGCTGGTCCTTTCTTCAGCTCGTTGTTTAGAAGAAGGCTTTTTCCACCATGTGGTCTCAGCCAGCGTATGAGCATCTCTCGATTTTCTAGAGCCCACTTGCAAATATTCTCAGCAGTATAGTTCATGATGTTATTTGGATATATCTTGAAGAGGGAAAAAATAATTACTTGTCCTCTCTTGGTTTAGTAATGAATACAGTTCTCAAATATGGCATGCTTTGTTACTGTAATGCCTAAAACTCTCTTCCCAGTTTCATATACCCTTTCCCTTTGGGAAATCTTTCCAAATGCTCATCAGATCATAGTAACACACACAAGCTTTCAGGCAAAAAGTATTCTACCAGGGAAGCTCCTCTTTCTTTTACTACATCTTTATAATCTTTACTTTTCTCACTAGTATAAATTTTCTTTATAAGTGAAAGAGCTCAGTCTCTAAGCTGGTATCATCACATATCTTGATTTATGGCATATTAGAAAACTTTTTCCCACTACTCATTCACCACATTAACTCATTTTAAATTAATCTTTTAAGACCCCAACATCAAAACTGCACTTAAAACTGGTATTTCTTATTACTGAATGCAGGGAAAAGAAATGCATGATAAAAAGCGCTCACAATTCTAGGGTCATTTTAATAAATTAAGGCAAGTTTATCTTAAATCATTTGCACAGACAAAGGTAGTTTTATATTATTTACCAATAATTTAACCTGAAAAATCCATGTTTTCCCTAGTCTCAATTGAATAAAATACACATTACAGTATTTATCTTCACAGAGTTTCCACTCATGGTAGCAGTGTGGATAGATAAGGTCTCTATGCCAAATAGCAAATCTGAAAGTTAGTATTTTCAGTCTCAGTCTTCCAAAAATCAGGCACATAGATTAAGAGTTACTATAAATTTTCAATTAAATTAATTTGCCTGATTTTTCTAATCAGTGTAATGTCACACCTTTAAATCGAAAAAAAAGTTTTCACTATTCTTACTCTCTCTCCACAAAATCTCTTTGTCCATATCCTCATTCAAGTAGCCTTCTAATTCTGACCCACTGGAAGAGGTAGAAACTTTAGGAGAGAGTCTTTGTGTAGTCATTTCCGAGGTGCTTGGGTTTTTTGGGTTTTATTTCGATAGAGACAATCAACTTGGGTCTTAGCTACTGTTTAGAACAGCTGCTGACTGGTAGAATGAAAATATGTATTACTGTACAAAAATATTGTTCTTAAACATCCTGTATCCTAAAGCTCCGTGAAACACTTCATGGTCTACTACAACAGAGCTTCAACCTCCATGTACCGTCTCAGAGTCACTACAACATAAATAACACTCACAAGAGATGTGTTGACATGTCTGTGCAAATACACGCTGCCTGAATGCACCAATGAGATCTCCTCTGCAACATGTTTATCCGTGATCACTCCAAAGCGAATTGTTCCAAGGTAATCTGAAAGGGCAAATTTTCAGTTTTTAAATACAATTATACACACCGAACTTCTCTCCTGAAAGCCTTCGAAGAACACCTTCAAACCAAAACACAGAACATTGCTGTGTAAAGGCACAGAAATCTTACTGACTAGCAACTGCCAATATCGGTAATTAAGTGAGGTAGAAGAAAGATGCCAAGAGCAGGCAACAAGAACAAATATGTTCCTCCTCTGCACTCAAGGTATAGAGAATGTTAACCTGAATTGTCCAATTTCTTGATTGCTTATTAAATATAGAATCTGATATCATAGATGCACCTTGCTACGTGTTACAGCACCTCAGAAGCCAAGATGAGATATACATATAAGGAAAATGTATGAACATTGACTGTTTAGAAGATGTACATTTACAATAAATATATAGTTTAAATACGTATTATAGTCTTTCTATATTTATAAATATGTATACACAAGGATAGAATGCTTCTCATCTTTACGTTGCAAAGAACTATCCCAACGTATAAATGGGGAATTACAGAACAAAATATAGGAGAACAGGCTCTATATCATATACCAAGTCCATGGCACAGTAAAAGTCAGAATAATGGTATCAATTTCCTTCATTTGCTGACAGGAAGAAATATCCATAAAATGCGCTAATCTTAACTTTAAGAAAGTTCTATCCAGAATTTATGATCCCCCCCCAAAAAAAAGGTATTAATCATATAAAAGTTTGCATATTTAAACACAAGAGGTTTTGTATTTTAGATTATTAATGCAAAACAACAGGGGGAGAAAGCCCTTCTCATCATGCTACCTTGTACCAGCTCTGTAACACCATCCAGGAAAGCGCTTCGTTGAATTCAGTTACTAAGTATTAACAAAGTCAAGTTCATCCTATGCCTCTGAACCGGACATTTCAAATGTTGCACAAAACAAACAATCTTGGACTCAACTTAAATAAGTGCTAGTTTGATTATGGCTCTATATGGGTTGCAGCTACATGTTTAGGTTTTTGAGGAAACTGTATCTTAATGTATCCTTGAATAGCAGCCTGTCATATACTTTATTCCATGACGGCCAATCACATAATAGGCCTTTTATGTAAGCAATCCTCACACTGTAATAAAAGACAGTCTCGTAATTAGATCAGCATCAAGAAACACTCAAAAGGGATTAATTCCCAAGTTACAAAATATTGCAAAAAACCTACTGAAGCCCACATACATAATTCATTCACAGATGTCTTAAATTATGAAAATGAAGCTTTTACCTTTCTTTAATGAATGTAATGCTGATGTGAAGAATGTTAGATAACCAGGTGGTTGAGGTGAAGCATTGAACTCAAAATATCCTAGAACTCCAGGCTGAAATAATAAGAATTAGACTTAGTTAAGCTATTTTCAAGTATAAACATATGGGGCACAGCAATTATTTGCCTACAGTAAAACACAACAGATTTTAAAAAGACAACAATGTTAACTGAAGAACAGTCACTTTATGCTGCAAGAAAAATTTTAATATTAAAAGACTGAATGGAAACCAGTTCTAAAATTGTCATTCAAAAGGTATGTATGAGGAGGGTTTTTATGGCTGTAGATGCGTAAGTTTCAAACCACATATTTCCCCATGTTAGCTATAAAAAGTTCACTAAAAACAATTAATATTTGCTTTGCAACTATTTTATGAGTCAGCTCCAGCACCAACATAAGAACCATAAGCATCATAAAGACTTCTTTTAGAATTGGAATATCAAATGTGATTTTTCAGAGTATAAACAACTTAAACAGTAACACTTTAATTGTTCACTATGTTGCACATAATGAGCAAATACATATGAATTCACACATTTCGTACGTGAATACTTGAACTGCTAAGCCAACTTATCATCCCATCATTAAGCTATCAGTCATTGTAAATTCTTTCAGTATATCCTGCAGGAGTCAGTGAGAGATCAGCTGCACAAAAATAATGAAAGAGCCCCATATCCCACCTGCATATCCATAAAGTTCTTCAAATTGCCAAACAGACAATTCAAAATTTAAAAGACTCATCCCTAATGGGCCTACTGACTTTGCCAGGTATGAAGCGTGAATGGGTTCATACTAAATTCAGGAAGAGAATCTGAGAGAAGCTGACTTGAAACAGGGAGGTGCGTAGTCTTTAGACTTCTCTTGTTCCAAAATGTCAATTAAGTTTTGGTTTTAAATTTTTCAAAATATAAGCCATTAAAAATTATTATTCATTATGTTCTTTAACGCATCACTCAAATTGGCTTAATAAACTTTCAGGATGGAGTAAGTGATGGAATTTGGTTATTTTGTGTTGTTTCCCAGTTCCACCAGTGCATATAGAAAGAGCATTTGATACACAAAGCAAGAGCACTCTAGGGATTGCTGGGGAACAAAAGATTCCAGACTTCCGATCACCCATTTGTGTGGCAAATATATTCCCACATAAGTATTTTCATTTGGTATTTCAGAGGCTGCTTTATTTTTTTGTTGAGTTTTACATACAAAATTTTTAATTTCTTTTTAAAACATGAACATATATTTTACCTGTTACTGTCATTAGTGATATGAATTCAGTTATTCATACCAACCAACATGCTCAATTCAGTATGAATTAGCGATCTCAGGATGTTCACCAATAACAACACTGCCCATTCTAACTAACAACCTGCTCTTTTTAGGCAGGAATTATCTTTCATGAATGAATGCTAAACACAAGACCCTTGTTCATAAAGATTCCTTATGAGGTACCCCAAGAAAATTATCAATAATAAAAATGAGATACAACCAATTAGTGACATTTCTGCTATAAGAATTGTCAAGAAGGAAATAAAAATATAAGTAAAATAGAAGTGAAAAAATATAGCAAAATAATAGCACTCATTCTTCTTTTTTAAACAATAAACAGGTTAGTGTTCACCTTTTCCTCCTAGTACCAAATTAAGACAGTAAAAAGAAACAATCCCTTACAAAAAACTTTTAAACCATTCAAGTGAACCAAAATAAGGAGACAGGTAAGATGATCAAAATTTAGGTTCCCATTTCCTAGGACCATTTCTGAATACCATTACTGTATGAAGCAAACTTATGGCACCAAATAGTGAATGAAAGAAGAGTCAAAAGGGACAGTAAAATGTGACAAGAAGACAAAAGTCAGACCTAGAAATATTTATAAAGTTATTAAAAAAGATTCTGATTCTGACTGCCAGTTCTGTTGTACACTAATAGCAGCTTAAGACTTCCAGATTGTGAAGAATGAGATGTTTCCATGAGGCATTTTTGGAAAGTATTTTTCAATAAGAAAAAACTGTAGTGGGAGAATATATACTGATACTATATGCCTAATCAGTAAACTGGTTAATTAATGTCCTTTTAATGATCATCCCAGAATAGTTAAAATTTCCTCCCTGTTACAGGCTGCAATTATACATGAGGAAAGTGTCTAAAATGCTGTATTTCTTCTCAAGTACCATGCAGATTTTCCTGTTCTTCTGTCAGAATAAAGAAGTTCACTTGCTAATACCAACTACTCTGTTCATTTTAACAAAATTGAACACTTAAAGGTGCAACTAACAAGGAATCTTGCTCCGTACAAGTGAGATTCAAGTCTTACAGAAGAGAGATCTCGCTGTAAATAAGAGGTTCCTAGTTTTGAATACAAGTATGCTAAGAGGAGCTTGATGGCAGCAATTCCCACTTCCTTTCATGTAAGAACCTCCAAAACAACCAATAACTGGTGTAGCAACAGCTACCTGCATACTGTTTATGTGGGCATCTACATAAAAGCTGTTATTGATGATCAGCTGCTTCCAAGCAACCATCTATGTGGAGTTATGGTTAACTATCTTCATGCAGGCAGTTAAGAATAATCAGTTGAACAGGATATGACGTACCGCTATATAAAGTTGGAGGATAAAGTACTGGAATGTGACATAGGGATAGTTCAAAGATAACTGCATTAGGAGCATTGGCATTACTAGAGTGGAGCTTACTGGAGCTTTTCTTTCCATGAAACAATTTTCAGCACCTGTCTCAAACCGAGTGTCTGTAGGAAAGGTTTTGGAACAAACCTGAGGACGTCAATAGTGAAAAGTCATTAGTACCATCTTCTAATAAAACTCATATATGGAAATACAAAATTATTAATTGTAGTGTAGCCTATTTCTTGCTTGGTCTCTACACCAGAAGAATGGGAAGTGATGTGTGATGCCAATTAAATAAACAAATAATGGATTTGACAAGAACCTCAACAATTAAAGAACCGCAAGTTTATAGAAACTTTAAGAATTAACAGAGATCTTCAGGTGAGTAATTTTTATTGGAGAACAGCCAGCATGGTTTTATTACTGAACCATGCCTCAAGTCTATCAGAGTTCTCTGAAGGAATGAGCAAGCTTGTAGATGACTAATCTACTCAATGCAGCATACGTAATTCCCCAAAAGCCTACAAGAAGTTACCAAACACACTGGAAGAAACTAAGGTGATAAGGAATAACATGGAAGGTCCTTTTCTAGATTAGTAAAAAAGACAGAAAACTACAGGTAGAAGTTACTGTTCTTCCACAGTCAAAGACAGCCAGCCAGGATGTGTACTGATGCTCATATAGTTCAACATTTCTATAAACACTTTAGAAAAGGGAGAGAAGGGTGAGGAACAAAATTTGCAAAGGTTATTGGCAATCATCGAAACTACAGCTGACTCAGAAGATTTGCAGAAACACAGTATTAAATGACTATGTGATGAAAGAGCTCTGAAATTTAAAGGCCAATATTTGCGAAGTAATTGGAACAGAAAAAACCCCACAGCTACTGATTAGCTTTTACAATTAGATAAACGCTTTTACTACTCAATTAAGTTATTTCTATCCCAATTTGTATTTATTTTTATGTTTTGGCTATATTGCATTGAAGTAAGGGAGATGATTTTTTTTTCAGAATCTCAGACTTGTGCAGGCAGGCAATTCCTGCCTCATTTTACCTGTGAACACAGGAAAGAAAACAGCAAGAGGAAAGGAATGTGTTATCTCTGAGGAACAAAAGAACCAATATTACACACCACTAATTCTATATTGTAGAAATGCAAAGAAGAAACTGTTGATTGATACTAGATTAATTAAATTTGCCAGTAAAAGTCTGTTCATTTTCTAACGATGTTAAAAACATTGTATATCCAGAACAGAAGCAAATTCTCACATCATCATTTAACATAGGCACCACAGTACTCCACACAAGAGCAAGCTATTAAGCCAAATCCACTTCTGGGTCAGATCCTACACAGCTGGTTAACGCTCAGGAAGCATTTCTACACAAATAGAGCAAAGAAGAAAGCTGACACCATGTTAAGACATATGCCAGCTACCCCCAGAGAGACCAACAACTCCCCCACCTCTCCCAAAGCCAGAAAATGATGAGCTCGCTGGGCACATTTAATTTTCTTAAGTGAATGAAGCTTTTTGTCTAGCTACAGAAGCTGCACGTTTTCCTCCTCTGTGCCTCAGAAGGATGAGGCCATTTCTAGTAGCTGGGTTAGCTAGATGAGAAACGAGACATGCCAGTTTGGATTAAAATGAAATGCTTACATCTCTGCAGTTAAGAAAACAAAAGAAGTCTGATTAGAGGTACTTACACATACCTGGAGTTATAGTAGGAACTGCGTATCTTTCTCCTGATGTAACAGATCTTCCTATGCATTCCAAGATTTTATCTGCTTTCCAAATGGGATTTTTTTCCTTGCTCTCAAAAATTAAATTCTAATTCTTATCCAGTTCTAGTTTTGCACTAGTATCATTCCATAACCACAAAAAAACCTTAAATACTATCAGAAAATGCAGAATCTTAACTTGCGAATCTTCAACCGTAATTTTTTTCACGGGGTTTGAGCGCCCTCTTCTGAGATCAATACAGCATCTCACGATACTCATTATTGGGTTGAGGAATGGACATAACACCATGTAACTAACACCACTTGCTCTTACATTTAGCTGGATTCTGCTCATCAGTATTTCTTAGAAATAAAAACATGCTAATTAACATTTGAATACAAGATAAAATACTGCTAGATTTCAGTATCTCTTGGTGTGCTTCAACTTAAAAAAATGCTTTGAATGTTTATCTTGGTACCTTTACAGTACTTGTTAGTTCAAGCATACTAACATCTTTAATGGATTTCGATATTCAATTGAGTGTGGGTAGAGCTCCTGGTTTTCTTTGCTAGATGCTTTTCCCATCAAAAGCTGGCTACTGGAATTTGAACACAAGATTAAAGCTCCAAAAGCTTCACAGATTAGATGGAAAAGGACAACTATGGGCTTGAAGTCCTGGCTATCAGTAAATTGACAAGCAACAACAAAATGCCCTTGAAACAAGAAAAGAAGGGTGCAGTAGCTCTTTTAAGTGTGAAAATACATGCTGAGCAGAACTTCAGCTCGACGTGATGCCCTGCAAATGCATCACTCATCTAGTCATAACTTACCAACTTGTTGCCTGCTCCAGATTATACATAGTGCTATCCTTGGACAGAGAAAACAAACAATGGGGACCAAAAGTGAGTGACAGGCAACTGCTTCCTTAATATGGGAGACCTTAATACCAAAGTAGAATGAAACAGCCAAGGAACAGAACGGGCACTGCCTAAGTGCAGTCTGGGGATCAGCTACAAGAAGGTTCTTTTCAACGGAAATTTTCAAGTCAAAATTAAATACCCCTAACCTAAGTTTGCAGAACCCACTCCCTAGCAGAACACAGAACTGAAAATTAGATACTGATGATGACAAATCTTTCAGAAAATATTCAGAGCTTCAAATTAATTAGCTTTTCAATGAAGAAATCACAAAAGCCTGATCAGGCAGCAGACAGTGCTCAAAATGCCCAATGATCTATCCTTTAGTCTCCTCTCCTTTCCCTTCTGCTAAAAATTAACATTTTTACTCTATAAAAGATCAAAAATCAAAGGAAGACACTAGCCAAGGCTCTCAAAATAGGAATTAGTTTGTGGCATACATGCTCCTCCTGTAACCTACTCTACTCCTCAAACTTTCTCACTTGAACACAGGAGTCACCTCCTGGATTGTATCTTCTCCTACAAAACGTATAAAGTTCCTCAACTTGCATGGAAAACATTAGAAAATGTTCACATTTCTAACTGTTTAAAATTATGAAATAACGTGTTTATTTCTGGTTTAAAACTAACTTTTCCTCTGTGCCTGACTATATTTCCGTCTCCATCCATCTTCATATACAATTCTCTATTTCTTAGGTCTTCCCTATATCCCAGCTCCTGAACACTCAGCATTTGCTTTTCTTATTGCACTCACCAATGTCCTGTTCCCTGAATGGATCTTACTGCATGAGGTGGCTGGTTTTTTGTATCCCCTTCTCCCCCTCTTGCTTAACTTTACAGAAGCAAGACACTGAGCATCTAGTGCCATGGCCTGGGAAATAACCTCAGCCTTAAATGGCTGCGGGGCAGCATGACAGATCAGACTCTATTCTTAGTCCATTTCAGAAAAAAGAACCAACAAACACTGAACATAAACAGAGATTGGGCATTTGGAGCCACAGAATTTGAAGCACAGGAAGGGGGGGAAGTCTGAACATAGAAATAAAAATATCTGTTCAATTACTAAGCAGTATTTAAAAAAAAATATTTTGTGGTTCCCCCATAAATCTGTCTTTTATCTTAGTCTTTTTCCAATGGAAGTGCACCTCCTACTGTAAAGCAAATTTAAGCTTAATGACACTATGCTTATTAGTTACCTTTTGCAGACTACCAAGAAATAATTCACATAACATAGACCAAAAACCAAGCATAGCTGTTTTTCAAATCTCTATAGGAGGCAAAAAAATAACAGAGTTTTAGAATGGCAACACTGAAGCAGTGAAAGGACAACAGAATTGCTTGTGATCACAGAAAGTATCAGCATCAGAGACAGAAACACAACTCTCTACTCCTCACTACTCTGCTTAAAACACTGGAAAACTAAACCCATGAATAGCTCCTGAGGGATAAACTGAAGTGTGAACAGCACAGCACCTACCCATGGTAACTACCTGTGTGCGTCCCCTTACGCTGTGGCAGCTTTCATTTCACAGCACAGGTTGTGCTCCATCCTGCCGCAGAACCAGTCATTAGGACATATGCTAATTCAGAGAGGAACTCTGCTTCATTCTCAAACACTGGAAAGCCCCTCACATGTTTTGGCCACTACTACAGTATCAATTTGCTGATCAGGTTTTCCATTCTGCTCTAATAGCTTGGGATTTAGTAACACTATGGTATTTCTCCATTGTGCGCTAGAGAAATGAACAATTATAAAGGGATTATAAATGGTTCTGTTGTAAGCGCATTTTGTCTAATTGGAAGTTATTAATCCACTAGTATTGCTACCAATCCTGGCATCTCTGAATACAACAGACCGAAAATTAATAAAACGCGATGTACCAGTGGATTAAAATCATGAAGTTACAGCATACGAAGTGGTTAGGAGCTGTTGTTTCCACTATTTCACATTTGTTTTTACTTAACAGACTTATCTTTTTAGAAAGGGTTAATATTCCTTTAAAAATTAAAGCAATGATTATATATTTCTCAAACGCTTTCCCAACTTAGACTGCAAGATTTTTCCGAAAAGATTTCTCCCTTCTTTCTTGTTCATATGTAACTTTTTGGTGAGGTAACACCTGATTGTTGTCTCTACATACTAAAGTACTGTAAATTAAGAGCATCACTAAATCATAAGAGTCACTATACAGGGAACCAACATTATGAATTTGTCATTTCATATTTTTATGATTTTAACAAATTTACAGGGCACTGATTTCAGGATCCTGGAAATAAACTAGTACTTTGGAGCAGATCAAATTGTGAAACAAGTCAAACTCTTTCTGAACCACAGTGGTAAAGCTAGAGAAGAGAGACAAGTACCTCATAATTTGAGAGGAAATCTAGTAATTTTGATCGAGACGAGATGTAGAGTAGTGGTGTCATCACCCGGCGAACAAACTTTTCAATATAAACAGCACTCATAGGGCCTTTGTATTCAATTGGTCCAAAACTAGTACCAAAAAAAATAATAAAACATTAAGACTTAAATTAACAATAGAGAGAGTCCCTCCTGGGGGTGGCAGAGATAGGAGTTACATAGACAGCATGCTCAGCCTCTAGGGAATTGCTCTCTGCGTTAATTTACAGTGGCTTCTGTAACTGGTAGAGGAGTTGTGTTACCAGACTTGAAGTACAGCGCAGAAATGGCAGGGACTCTAACGCAGTGTCTATGGGTAGGTGCAGTGTGTTGGTGGGGACGAAGGGATGGAGACCACCTCTGAGTGCCTTTAAAGAAGTTAGTAAATTGCAGGTATGAATTATATGATCATATACATATCTTTCTGCTTTGTCCGAAGTAAATACATGTGACTTAAAAATACAGATCTGAAAAATGTCACTATTTTAACTTGGTTTTTTAAAATCTTTTATAAAGTTCAAACAGTATCAATCTGAAAAGGTGCAATGTTTTTACACAGACTTTTACAAGTAGCACTCAATAAAGCAGGGACAAATCCAGTCGCACTGCTGATGAACAGACTCAGCGAGTCTACAGTTTCTTCCCCAGCCATCTGATAAAACAGCTCACACCACATTAGGTAGTGCTAAAACAGAAGGCGGGCCGGACCTCGTGGCTATGATTTCCAGAGCTTCTCCTTCATCCCTTTGAAATCCTGCATCTGATTTATTATCATTAGGTTGGACAAAGCATCACAGTCCAAAATGAAACCAAACACAAAAAGCATGAGGAATTAGTCCATTCCCACTGAAGAATTTAATGTGATGCGTTTTTTTAATATAGTTTATACACAGAGACACTCTGAAAAAAATCAAACTCGCACTGAAATACCTATATTCAGATGCTTTGAAATGGTTTCCTAGAGCTCTCTAGATTATTCTACATCCTACACTGGTTTATTACAAACCTTTGTCTTAACAGCAACATGCACTGCTTCAACATGTCACATGCCCAGTACGCAACATTCGAGGTTTAGTATCTTGGGCATGAGGGGTTCATTGCCCTTTGGGGTTCTTACGAAGTATCAATATGAATTTACATCTCATCTTGTTGCAACTCTGTTTAAGGTTACTGATAATAACCACGTATATCCATCTATTGTGTTATAATTTCAAGGTCAAATAAGTTTAAGTCAGCGTACATCCAAGTGGGATTGTTGTTTTTTTTTATTACAGTTTGAATTATGCCAGTGCCATCTGTGTCTATTCCAAGTCCAGCTGCCAAGATCAGAATTGTTCCTCCTCGATACATAAATCCCCCCCAAAAAACAAAATCAGCCTCTGTAGTGGAAGAGAGCTGCCGTTCAAGACTAGAGTACACATGTAAAATGCAAGTGATAAACTACACAGCATCCAGCTCTATTATACCTAGCATTAGAAAGTGTGTTTCCTTACCTTCTGCTCCACACAAAAGGGGGGG